CTAGTTTTTTAATTTAGTATTAACTTCTACTAAGGTTATGTGTGAATATAATGTGAAAAACTGAAAATTTTCTAAGTTTATTCAGAATAACAGTCATCTCCCTGCCATTTCCTTCTCTTCAGAGCAGCTGCTTAACACTATTTAGCTAATTTCTTTAGGCATTTACTTCCACACCTTTAAATAATGGCTTATTGCTGTATCTTGATTTTCCAGTTTTAGACATTATACATTTCTATAGTGGAAGATGAGGATTTCTAACAGAGTAGCTAATTAGTAAAGGAGAAGTACTGTTCAAACCTTCAAAGAAATCCCATGATCTTACACAGTTAATTTATTCAGAGCTATCTGTATTTGGGAAGATGTAGGACCTGTAACATTGCATTATTAATACTATATGAGTTTAAGGTGTTCATTTTTGAAAATCAACACAAGTATATACAAGTATATACTGCATTTACTATTAGAAGCCAATGTCTATTCTTTATTATCTTAATTTTCTCTTCAGACTCCTTTTGTGGTATATCTTCTTTTTTTTTTTTTTTAATTTATTTGTACATACAGAATTAGGGTACAGGCCGGAGGCTCAGGGGCGGTGAGAGGCTTCACAGAGACAGAGTGAGGAGCAGAACAGGCAGATCAACACAGTACACTGCTGAGGGGAGCAGTGGGCGGGTCAGGAGAGGTCTGCCACCCCATGTGGTCACCTCCGGGGCAGGTGGGGATTGAACTCATGCGGAAGTGGCTTTAGCTTCTCAGTGTAGTGCTTTAACCCGCTGCGCCACCAGGGAGGGCCATATCTTCTTTTTTAAAAAGATGCTATATATACTCTTTTAGTAAAAATATTAATGATGTTTCTTTTGGAAGAGTTTTCTGCTTAATACTTGATATGTTTATATTCCTGTTTAGAAAATTTTCAATTTGCTTTAGCCTGTTTTTGAGATTAGAAACTTCCCCTCAAAATTCTGTTAGTTAGTCTTTAACTCTTCATTTTTTACTTAAGAATGGGGCACGTGGGGCTTCCTTGGTGGCACAGGGTGGTAGGGATTCCTCCAGAAAAGGGGCCTTGGATTGGGCATAAAAGATGGATAGAATTAGGTAACAGGGAAGTTGAAAATTTATTTTAAGTATCGGGTGGGAATGAGCATGGATTAAGTAGACAGTAACACTGCTATAAGGAGGAATCTTTTGGGTGCAGGAGAAGATGAAAGTTGAGAATTAGGGTAAAACTAGAAAATAGGTAGCCCTTATAAATCAGGCAGATGCTTTTGGCCTTGATTTTTAGAAGAGTGCTTTCTTGAATTTGGAGATTGATGGATTTTAAGTGGTATTATGAAAAATAATTCTGGAGAAAATATATAAGAAAGGTTGGAGTGGGGAATAAGAGTTAAAAAAAAAAGACTAACAGGAAAGGTGATTAATTCATGTCTGAGGTAAAGAGGGTTGACTAGGTTGTTGAAAGCAGTAGGGGTAGTTATGCAGGGCCAATTAGAAGGAAGAACACACAGGTTCATGTAAATCAAATTCAGGGGATGAAGGAAAGTGAGAGAGAGAATGGGAAATGGAGGGGGGAGAGAGGAAGCAAAATAAAGATAGAATCAAAGATGATTTAAATGTATTACTTCTGATAAATGAAATTTACAAGATGTGAGGGAGAAGAAAATGAGAATTTTGACTTGTTAAATTTGAGGTGAAAAAGGTGATGACTCAAGATGCACTAGGAATTGTTCACATGGTAGTCGTAGTTTGGAGCTTTGAAACTGTATGTACAATTTAGAGAGAGTAAGAAATTATATTGATCCAGAAAGAGAAGTTTGTCAATAATCACATGACTGCCTATTAACAGATTTTTTTAACAGCAACTGTTTCCAAATCTGTGACATAAATAACTATGTGCATATAGCATAGGCCAAAGTCTAAATACCTTGAAGGATCAGGGAAGTGAGGTAAATTCACTTAATATTCAACAAATAGTTACTTGAGTGCTGATAGTATGCCCTGGCAAGCCCTGTCCAAGGTGCTGAAGTCATAGCATGACAAAGATAGATGAGATCCTGCGTTCATAAAGCTTATTTTTAAAAGAAATCATAATGACCAAAGTTATTAACTAATTTTGTTGGTAAATAAAATCATGGGAAAGTAAAGCAGGATGATGTGTTGAATAGTGGATATGATGAATACTTAAGAGCTAATGTCTGAGCTGAGGCTTGAAAAACATGAAAAAAATTCTCTGTAAATGTAGAAATAGAACATACCAGATGGAAGGAACACAAAACCTATTAGCCTTAGAGTTGTAATAAATTTGGTATGGTTTTTAGCTGGCAGGAGATTTATTCATCTGTGTAGTGTGTACCAAGCAAACATTTGGGGACTACAACAGTGAAAAACCAGTAGCACTGATGCATAAAGCTGAATGATAACTCATCTAGATTTGTACTATCTGATAGGTATTTATATCAGATGCATTGTATGTAAATGATAAGTAGTATTAAATATATAATTTTTATTTTGCTTATATTATTTTCCTCCACAGTCTTTGTCAGAATACACACACACACATTTTATTTATTTTTGCATAGAGGAACTGGGTTGTAGGTCAGAGGTGTAGGGGATGAGAGGATTCACCAGAGACAGAGTGGGGAGCACAAAACAGGTGAAGTTACTGAAATACACTGCTGAGGGGAGCAGCAGGACAGGAGAGGTCTGCCGTGCCATGTGGATTAGCTCCGTAGGCAGAGATTGCACTCAGGTCAGAAAGGTGATAGTGCCGAGACTTTACCTCTAGGTCACCAGGGAGGCCTTTTGCCAAACAATATTTAAGTCCTGGTACTAATATTACCTTTTTCCTTAACATTCTCCTTTACTACTTTAGACAGAGTCAGTTGCTTTCTACCTTTGTTTTCGTAGGTACTTTGTATATACTTCTTTTTTAGTGCTTATCACACTGTTTCCATGTTTATATTCCAACCAAATTGCACATAGTATTCTGCCTGTGCTAGGAACTTAATTAAGGTTTCTTGCAATTCATTGTGTACTTTTTTTGGGGACTAACATTGTTCATGGTGGTGTTCAGTGCACAGTGGAATGAACTGATATAATTAAATAGCAGGTGGGTTTTGCAATCCTATTTGAGGTGTCTAGTTAAATATGATACATTGATCTTATAAATTAATTTTTTCCACACCTTGAAATTTGTATAAAAGATATTAAATCAGACGAGAGAATGAGATATCATTCAGCAGTGTCTGTCAGAAAACAAATAGAGGAGTGGTGGCTCACTTAGAAGTTTGAAAGTGTGTTCAACTTTTATAAACACCAGTACTTATGAAGGCTAGAATAAAGCTTGGGCTTAAAAAGGGAGGTTTATTGAAAATTTGTGAAATACTTGAACCTTCCTAGGTCTCTATCCAATTTATTCTCTGAAAAAACTGAACCATCCTGGATGAAGTCAGGAGTATATAAGACACTGTGGGGACAGGGATGAGGCATGAATCTGTAGGTAGAAATTGAGCAAAATTTTATTGACTAACTGGTACTCTTACCTCCTGTATAACACTTATGTCAGAATGCATATGTACTACTAGATAAAATTCTCTCTCTTCTCTTGAATTCCAAGACAGGAGAGTGAGAATTTGCGTCTGAAGAAAATAAAAGGCCTAAGATGAAAGATGTCTACATCTTGACATTGGGGAGGTAATCCCTTAATGAAAAGACCATCTTGCTACTTGATCACCTGAAAGTGAAGTCTGTTAGTCAGTAAGCCCTTCTCCAAGGTCCCCTTCAGCTTTTAATAAATCATTCTATATTTAAAAAATTAGCAGCTTTATTGAGATGTAGTTCACCATCCAAATAAAGTGTTCATTGTACCATTTCGTGCATTTTTTTTTAGTATATTCAAGAATTGTGCAGCCATCATCACAACCAATTTTAGAACATTTTCATCATCTGAAGAAGAAAGCCTAAACCCATTAATAGTTACTGCCTCTTCCCTCCTGGCTTCCCTTTCTTTCCCAGCCTGCAGCTCTAAGCAGCCACCAATCTACTTTCTGAATTCTGGACATTGCATACATAATTTTTATATTTTGCTATAATAAGGACAATGACAATGGTAGAGGCTTGAGTTAATGGTATGTAGACTACCTGTGCATTTCTTTGCAGCTCACCTATGAATGTTTAATTATTATTATGAAGTTGAATAATTTCTTATAGATTGACTCATACCTTTTCTGCGTTAATAAGATACTCAAGTATCGTTGAATTCTATTTTTTTTTTTTAACAAAAGGCATTCTCCCTAGAGCTCTTCTTCCATTGTACTTAAGGATTGTGTTGGTATTAATTAGTATTCATGTTATCCTTACAAAGTGCTTTTTATTAAGACAAAGTTTAGGAAGTATGCAGTACTTATGCCAACTTTGGCATGGCTTAAACAGGTAATGAAGTGCCAAACCCTGCCTGCAACATTAGGAAGCCATTATGGGCAGAATGTTTTGTCCCCAGGATATTAAGGTAACAGAAAAAAAGCCTTAACAACTGTGAAACAGAATAGGATTCGTGTTGCTAAGTATTCTATATATCAAGATTAGAATAGAAGTCATGACAAAACTTCTCAGTACAGAACCTGGGGGATTATGGAGTAAAGGTTGTTACAGTTTCATGTTTTTAATCACATTTTACTGATTTACCATTCATTTGTAACAAGATAGAATTTTTGGGAGTAGAATTTCACACCTCAATATGTATATATGCTTCACTTACCTCCACAAAGGTTCTAGTGCCAATTACTCCTTCGTTCCTTTTCTCCTAACCATCTCCCCTCCCACCTCTGCCCTCTGGTAACCACCATATTTTCCACAGAGTCTAAAAGTTCCTTTTGTGTCTGCCAGTTTTATTTGGTTATTTGTAGTTCAGAAACCAGTGATACCATTAGTAGTTGTCGTTTACTTTCTGACTAATTTCCCTCACTCTTTGAAACTTTTTTATGTTACAGGAAGTAAATGTTAATATGGAGAATGATTTTAAGATGGAGTCATCATCTACCTTTGTTCTTCAGAATTCTTCAGACACTTTGTTTTCTATTCAGCTTTTACATTTCAAAACAAACTTACTGGAAGCACTAGAAGAATTACGTATGAGAAGGGTAAGTCTCTTTTTAAAATGCTTTCTGAAAATCATAGAATTTGTTTTTGTTTCTTTGATTTAAAGAAAAAGCAGCTCTAACAAAATAGTGCAGAAAGAAAAAATATAGTCTGTATAATAAAGTAAAAGAGAAAAGGACAGATTTAGTTGACATCAAGGAAGGGAAAAAAGAATAATTTGTTAGGTGAAACAAAAAGGAACAGATTTACATATTATTATATACTTTATAGGTCAGTTGGTATTTATTGAGTTCCTTGGAATGCATAGTGCTACACACAATGACTATTGAAATAGAAATGCTCTTCAGTAATTTACCTTTTTGTGAAAGTTAGATATAGTTCCCTATGAAATGATTAAGTAATAAAACAAAGCAATACATAATTAGTGACACAATAAATTTAGTAAGTATTCTGAGTTCCAAGAATAAAAATTTCCTATTGTTTTTAAAACTACTGACTTTTAAAAAAAGATTTATTTATTTATGCATACAGAACTGGGGTACAGGCCAGAGGAGCAGGGGCACTGAGAGGATTCACCAGAGACAGAGGAGGGAGCAGAACAGGCTGACTGATGAAGCACACTGCTGAGGGGAGCACTGGGTGGGTCAGGAGGGGCCTGCAGTGGCCATGTGGATTATCTCTGGGGCAGGGATCAGACTCATGCTGAAGTGCCTTTAGCTTCTTAGTGCTGTGTTTTAACCCACTACGCCACCAGGGACGGCCCAAATTTCCTACTTTTTAAAAGTGATAATCATGTGCATTTAGAAAGGAGATGTCTATGAAATTGTAAAGATGTTTGTTTTTAGCAGGCAATCTATATTATGCAAACCCCATTAAAAGCACTTAATTTTGGAGACTCTTTGGGTGTTATTTGAAGAGTGTGTTGTCAGCTCTTTATGAGGTAAATTCAAGTTGGTGTGATTCTGGAGAGAAGATTATAAACTATGAAAGTATTATAATAATATTCTAGGGATGAGGTCAGTAAGATTTAAGGTTAGCTGTGAAGATAGAAGAGGTAGAGGAATCAGTAGAATTTGGTGACTTCATAAAATAAGCTGTAAGAGAAAAAAGAGCTGAAGCAGTGTTTTTATTATATGACCCTTATTCTAAAATTTTAAAATACTGAACTTTGTTGTAATATAAAATTTGATTAGCACAGTGTTCATCCTCTATAAGGATGTTTATTCATAGATTGGTACCCCAATGATATCTTGTCTGAATCCTGAAATCTTAGTATATGTTATGTAGCAAACAAGTCTTGCAGATGTAATAAAGCTAAGAATTTTGAGATGGAGGCATTTTGTTGGAGTATTTAGGTGGGTCTCCTGTATCACAAGGGTACTAATAAGAGGGAAGCAGGGTAATCAGAGTCAGGGAAAAATAAGTGATTTTAAAGAGGCGTAATCAGAGAGAGAAAGATTTGAAGATGTTATATTGATGACTTTGAGCTGAAGAAGCAGAGTTGGGGAATGCAGGGGGAGGCTAGAAGAGGAGGCAAGGAATTCTTTCTTAGACATCAGGAGATGTGTGAATCAGCAACAATTTTATTTTAACTGAATGATAACATTCTGTGTTTCAGACCTCCTAAATTGTGAAAGAATAAATTTGAGTTCTTGAGCCTATCAGTGTGTTGTAATTTATTCAGCAGTGGGGATCTCATTCACCAAACACCCAGATTCTGCATCTGGTCTAGTGTACATTCCTCTGTTATTATTATTATTTTTAGATGCATTTCCATGTAAATTTGAAAGTAGTATGTAATGAAAAGTATATTTTTAAGTATAACATCTTATGAATTTTAACAAATACAACAACTGTGTAGCCCAAACCATTGTAAGGGTCTTCTAGGCTATTGTGACTCCCAGGAAAGTCCTTTTTTGTTCTTTCTCACTTATTCCTCTCTCTATCTGGAGCAACCACTGTTCTATTTTTTTTTTTTCCACCATGGATTAGTTTTTTTTTTTTTTTTAAAGATTTATTTATTCATACAGAACTGGGGTACAGGCCAGAGATGCAGAGGGTGAGAGGATTCACCAAGGACAGAGTGGGGAGCAGAACAGGCAGATCGACGAAGTACACTGCTGAGGGGAGCAGCGGGCGGGTCAGGAGAGGTCTGCCACGCCATGTGGTCACCTCCGGGGCAGGCGGGAATCGAACTCATGTGGAAGCGGCTTTAGATTCTCAGTGCAGTGCTTTAACCCGCTGCGCCACCAGGGAGGGCCGGATTAGTTTTTTGTTGTAGGAATTCTTCTAAGTGGAATCAGTTTATATCCTTTTGTGTAAGTTGCTTTTACTCAGTATATTTTATTTATTCATGTTGTGCCTATCAGTAGCTTGTGCCTTTTCATTGTTGGTTAGACAATTCTCTTCAGTTTGTCTGATCTGCTGATGAGTCACTTTATTGAGTTTTTTTTTTTTTAAGATTTATTTATTTGTGCTTACAGAACTGGGGTACAGGCCAGAGGTTCAGGGGCAGCGAGAGGCTTCACCAGAGACAGAGTGGGGAGCAAAACAGGCAGATCGACGAAGTACACTGCTGAGGGGAGCAGTGGGCGGGTCAGGAGAGGTCTGCTGCGCCATTTGGTCACCTCCAGGGCAGGCGGGAATCGAACTCATGTGGAAGTGGCTTTAGCTTCTCAGTTCTGTGCTTTAACCAACTGCGCCACCAGGGAAGGCTACTTTATTGAGTTTTTAAGTTCACATCTTTTATTTTATAGTTTTGCAATTTCCATCTGGTTCTGTAATTTCCAGTTTTCTGCTGAAATTCATTTTATCATATAATTTCTTGAGCATATTAGTTTCATATATTTAAAGTCTGTGTCTATAAATTAATATGTGAATCTCTTGTAGATCCATTTCTATTGTCTCCTTTTCCATCTTGGTTTTTGGTTATTTGACCTTATATCTTGATAACAGGTAAATTTTGATTGATTGACTGGTTTTGTACATAGAAAATTGCAAAGAAAATTTGAGATTTTGCATGGTGGTAGTTTCCCCTAGTGAGATAATCTTTAGTTTCTGGAAGTTAGGATGAGGCATTTCATCTTACCTATCTAACTGAGCAGACAGAGGCTAAATTTCCATTTTTGTGGATGCTAGTTTATTTCATTTTCTACTCTATGAGTGTAGCCTTTTGGTGTTTCAATTAAAATTTCTCCTCAGTGGGTCTTGAGCATTAAGTTAATGCCCACAAGTTTGCTGGTGTATCTAATTTGAGTTTCCCAGCCTCCTACTGAACTCCTGGGACTAATGACTGTAAAGGATTAGATAGTAAGATTTCCTTAACAAAACAAAACATAATAGATAATACAATAAAGCCAAAGAAACTTTCTTACTCTATTGAACTGTATTTCACCACTTAACTATGATATAATTAACAAGAAAGAGGAAATATTACTTATTTTTTCCCTGATGGACTGAAATTAATAATAATATTTGAAAAAGAGTATTTTAAATTGATCTACAGATAAACTGTTAGAATCAACAAAAATTTATACTAACTGTATAATGTGTACTTTTTAGAAATAGACATCACTTCTGTTTATTTCCTTATATATAGATCTACAGAATAACTGAGAAGTAAAAGTGAACTATAATATGAGGATCACAAATTCTACTTCCTTCAGGATTCATGTATTTGGTGTATAATGTGAAAGATGTAGGAATTGTGTTGAATTGGAGAGCCTGTTTCTTTTTACTGTTCAGTTCTAAAAATTTGTTGCCATGTAGAAGAATGAGCATTGTGCTGTCAGCTCTTTCAATTGTTGAAAAGAAACTAGAAAACTGCATTTTAATGTGAAATCTGTTTGATTGTAAAAGTTGGAGGTGGGTTGAATGTGTTTATACAAAATATTTCTGAACCAAATTTCTATAATGGGGATAAAATATCTGCATTTATTGAACTTTATTTGAAAGCATTTTCAAAACCTTTTCTCAATCTTGTCTAAAGATATTTAAAATTTAATAGGTACAACAAGTCATGAAAATTAATTACTATATTCTCATGTAGTATTACTTATCATAAGAGAAATATGAACAAAGATTTGGGCTTCAGTGAAAAGATACATTGAATATGTTAAATAAGCTGAAATAAATCCTGGAATTTTGAATTTGCAATAAATAAAAGCCAAATGGATATTTGGACTTAGAATAGCAACAATTTGGTAAAGAAACTGAAGGAAAACTGGGTAATTAATGGTATAATATTTGGATAACGTTAGCAACTTTTAGTATTTCATAAAGTTAGTTATAGATGAGTAGAATCATAAATTTGTAATTATAATGCTATGTATAATATATATATCTTTATAATACATGTACAATTGATAAAATGGTTATTAGCCACATTGCCAAAAGGGTACATCATAATATGTCTTTACTGTCAGTATTTCTAGTAGATTTCATGTTTACTATTAAAATTATTTATCTTTTATTGGAGTTTTTCATTCTTCTATTCATCAAGCAGCTTTCAAAAGTTATTAATAAAAATTCCTATTAAATTGTCAATGAGGAAAAATATTAAATTTAGTAAGAAAATCCCATCTGTAACTTTAAAAACAAAGTATACAAGAATATAGAACCTTAAAAGTGCTTATTTTTTATTAGCTGCCTTAGGACTACAAGGACTTAAGTGTTTTTACAAAAACAATAAAAGAGGAGTAATTTGATGGTTTATTTACTCTTTATAACCTTTAGAAAGTGTCATGCGTTTTCAAAAATGTTTGCTTCGGGCTGTGGGTTTACAAGATGGGCTGTGTTTTGGTCAAGCCTCTTCAATTCTTGACCCTGAACAGATTTAGGGACATAGTACATAGAGCAAGCATGTGTCCATACAGCCCAAAATGTAACAGGGTACTTTTATTCTTCTCAAATTCATAATCTGTTTCCTATAAAATTGCCCAATTCATATTCCCATGGTATCTTAAAAAATCATAATTAATTTTTAAAGATCGCTTCTTGGTTTGATTAGCTTCAAATTATATAAGATAAACATCTTTAATATACATATAATAGTCAATTCATTTAAAAATAAATATTCCCCATTTATTATTTTAACTAATATTTTTGCATTAGCTTAAACTACTGCAGAGATTTCTGAAATAGAAAAATGTTAATAATGGAATATTCATAATTTTTTAAGTTCTTGTGCTTTCCATTCTACATATATTTCTAGTCCTTATTTGAAATATTCTACCAGATTATCAGAATGTAGTTGTATATTATTTGAAATATTCTACCAGATTATCAGAATGTAGTTGTATATTTATTTATTTTAGTTTTTTAAAGATTTATTTATGCTTACTGAACTGGGGTACAAGCCAGAGGTGTGGTGGGCGAGAGGATACACCAGAGAGAGTAGGGAGCAGAACAGGCAAAACAGTGTACTAAAATACACTGCTGAGGGGAGTAGCGGGTGGGTCACAAGAGGTCTGCCATGTCATGTGGGTCAGCTCCTTGGTGGGGGATCAAACTTGTGCTGCAGTGGCTTCAGAGAGCCTCATAATGTGGTGCTTTAACCTGTTGCGCCATCAGGGAGAGCCACGTAATTGTGTATTTAAAATAGGTAATGTGGGCCCTCCCTGGTGGCGCAGCGGGCTAAAGCACAGCACTGAGAATCTAAAGCCTCTTCCGCATGAGTTCGATCCCCGCCTGCCCCGGAGGTGACCACATGGTGTGGCAGACCCCTCCTGACCCGCCCGCTGCTCCCCTCAGCAGTGTACTTCGTCGATCTGCCTGTTCTGTTCCCACTCAGTCTCTGGTGAAGCCTCTCACCGCTCCTGAGCCTCTGGCCTGTACCCCAGTTCTGTATGCACAAATAAATAAATCTTTAAAAAAAATAAAAAAATAAAATAAAATAAAATAGGTAATGTGATTTTGAAAGGCTTTTTAATTTACATTGGATATGAATATCAAATTCTGAATTTTTTGAAGGAAAAGAGTATATAATAATCCGTATTACCCTATAACACCCACAGTCTCTTAAAGGTAATATAATGGCATATATTTTTTTAAAGATTTATTTATTTATGCATACAGAACTGGGGTACAGGCCAGAGGTGCAGGGGCAGCGAGAGGCTTCACCAGAGACAGAGTTGGGAGCAGAACAGGCAGATCAACAAAGTACATGCTGAGGGGAGCAGCGGGTGGGTCAGGAGAGGTCTGCCATGCCATGTAGTCTCCTCCGGGGCAGGCGGGAATCGAACTCATGTGGAAGTGGCTTTAGCTTCTCAGTTCTGTGCTTTAACCAACTGCGCCACCAGGGAGGGCCTATAATGGCATATTTAAGAGACCCTGAAAACAGGTGATCTAGGTTTAAATACTGCTGCTGCTATCTGCTGTGTGACTTAGGCAAGTTATTACCTCTTGCTAACCTTGTTTCTTCATTTATAAAATAGATAACTCTTGAATTATGCAACAAATGAAAAATACTTAGAACGATATCTAAGTCATGGTGAGATCTCAGCACTCACTTTAACCAGACCCACGTGAAGAAAGCAGTATCTTGTGCGTTTTTCATCCAACTAGTTTGGGAAGATATTCATGTTAGATGTAACACCCATCCTATCCCTCTGTACTTCTTTTACCCAAACAAATGTGGATACACATTTCCTTTTTCTGTGTGTTACTAAAGATATGAATTATTACAAGAACTTCTAATCTCTTCTAACCTATCATATAATGTACACTGTTGGTATACATCCTCTTCAATACCATATTAGAACTCTGATAAGGTCTACCTCTCTATAATGTGAGTGAGGTTGACAAAGTTGGGGAGAAATTAGAGTGGATGTTAATAAAGTATATATTTTATTTTTTTTTTAAAGATTTATTTGTGCATACAGTACTGGGGTACAGGCCAGAAGCTCAGGGGTGGTGAGAGGCTTCACCAGAGACAGAGTGGGGAACAGAACAGGCAGATCGATAAAGTACACTGCTGAGGGGATCAGTGGACGGGCCAGGAGATGTCTTCCACGCCATGTGGTCACCTCCAGGGCAGGCGGGAATCGAACTCATACTGAAGTGGCATTAGATTCTCAGTGCTGTGCTTTAACCCGCTGCACCACCAGGGAGGGCCAAGTATATATTTCTAATGAAATACTTTCCTTATGACTCCTAAATGTTTTTTATTGTACACTCACATGCACACACTTATGCTGTGGTAGTCAAAGGTAGGATTTCATGAAAGTTGTCTCATTTAGAATGTTTGTAGCAGCAAGTAGCAACATAAATCCCAAATCATAATTCTTATGGGAATTCATCACTTCACAAGATGTGGAAATGTTGAATTCCCAATCTAGGATTAATTAATTTTTTTTTTGAATCCTTGGGATTTCCTATGTATACAATCCAGTTACCTACAAATAGAGACAATTTTACCTTTCTTCCTTCCTCCCTGACTCATTTATTTCCTTCCTTATAGTTTGCATTTCCAGTATTACATTAAGTAGGAACAGCTATAGTAGATATCCCTGCCTTACACCTGATCATAGAGGGGAAAGTGTTCACTCATTCATCCTTAAAATATGTTAAATATTTTGAAGGAAAAGTGATTTTGTAAATGCTCTTTTTTCATTTGAAGGAATTCCCTTTATTCTTGAGATTTTTAAAAAAATTATGAGTGTCAGATTTTGTCAAATGCTTTCTTGTGTCAATTCATATGATTTTTCTTCTTTAGCATATTGATATGTTGAATTACATTAACTCTTTCATCATTAAATATGTTAAATTTTTTGAAGGAAAAGTGATTTTGTAAATGCTCTTATCCATTTGAGAGAATTCCCTTTATTTTTGAGTTTTTTTAATTGTGAATGGGTGTCAGATTTTGTCAAATACTTTCTTCTGTCAATTAATATGATTTTCTTCTTTAGCATAATGTTGGATTACATTAACTTTGAGACAGCCTTGTATATCTATTCTATTTGGTGATGGCATATATTTTTTTAATATATATTGTTGAATTCCATTAGCTAATATATTATTGAGGATTTTTCCATTAAAATTTGTAAGAGATACTGTTCTTAGTTTTGTTTTTTGGTACTCTCTTTGTTTGGCTTTGGAAAAATAAAAAGCTTCATAAAATCTTTGTTTGGTGTTGGAATCACAGAAAGCTTCATAAAATCAGTTGGGATAGGCACCCTCCTCTTATGTCTTTTTGGAGGATACTGGAAACAATGTTAATTCTTTTTTTATTAAAGATTTATTTATGCATACAGAACTAGGGTGCAAGCCAGAGGCGCAGGGGCGGTGAGAGGATTCACCAGAGACAGAGTGGGGAGCAGAACAGGCCAACTGACAAAGTCCATTGCTGCCAGGAGTGGCAGGCAGGTCAGGAGAGGTCTGCAGCGCCATGTGGGATCACCTCCGGGGTGGGTGGGGATCGAACTTATGCTGAAGTGGCTTTAGCTTCATAGTGCTGCGCTTTAACCTGCTGCACCACCAGGCAGGACCCCCAGTGTTAATTCTTAAGTGCTTAGAGAATCTGGCCTCATCACCTTCTTTTTGGGGGAGCTCTTTAATTAGTTGTTATAGAGCTATTTAGATTTTTGAGGTTGGTAATTTGTGATTTTTTAAGAATTGGCCCATTTTCTAAGTTGGCAAGTTTATATCATAAATGTACAGTAGTTCTTATTAACTTTTCCAAATGGCAGCATTATCTTTATACATTTTAAAATGTTATGTCTTTGAACATATTTTAAATTGTTGATTTAAAGTCTTTGTCTAGTAAATCTAGTTTCTGAATCTGCTCTAGGAAAAGTTTCATTATTTTTCTTTCTGTGTATGAGTAATACTTTTCTATTTCTTTGTGTGTCCTGTAATTTTTCATTGAGTTTAGATGTGGAGACTCTGAATGTGTTAACTCTGAATATCACTTTCTTCCTCCCTAGGATTGCTGCTTGTTGTTTTAGTGACTTTTTGAAATACTTTTTTACAATCTGTAGTTTTTGTCATGTATGGCCACTAAATTAGGACTCTTAGCTTAATGATCAACTAGTACTTTGACAGATTTCCTGGAATTAAAACAGAAAAATTCTCTATTCTTCTTAATTGATGCTTGCTATTCTGGTGGTGGCAGTTAGGTCAGGGAAGTTGATGTTGCCTTTGTATTTAATGCTAAGTGTGGCATGTATTTTTACCTTCACCCTTCCCTACAACAAAGGTGTTTCTGTTTTCTTCTCCTTGCAGTTCCAGTGATGTTCTAATGATGTAGTTTTTGCCTTTCTCTTTGTCACTTGATGTTTTTGTTCCTTAGGGGAGAGATGGAAGACAAGCTTTCAGTAGTAGTTTCCAGTGGTGGCAAATGTCTGTGACTGCTTTCGTTCTTTCCAACCAGCATTACAGGACAAAACTTTCTCAGGGTTCTATCCAATATTCCCAGTAAACACCTGGCTAGTTTCTTGAAGCCTGGTAGAGAACACCTCTTGTTTCTGGGCCCCACAGGGGACTTGTGTTCTTATACTTGTCCATGTTCTGCCTTTAGCAATTTATGTTAGAACTTTTAGCTATATTTTCCTATCTGTACACTGTGGCCTATGTCTAAGGTAAGCAAGTGCTAGGGCTCTGTTTCTCCTAACAAGCACTTGTCTCTCTCCAGCTTTGGGGTCACTTGATTGATCTGGGAACTCTGTTTTCTGATGTGTTTGTCTTTTTAGTTTACATATTGCCCAGCTCTCTTGTGAGTTTCAGAGGATGCTCTTTTTATCTCTTCAGGAAGAGCTTAAACTTGAAGTTTTAAACTCCTAATTTTTGTAGCTGTTTTCTTTTTTGCTTTTATTGACTTAGGAAGCTGAAACTCAGTATGAAGAGCAGATTGGTAAGATTATTGTGGAGATGCAAGAACTCAAGTGGCAAAAGGTGAGTATTTTTTCTCAAATTAATACCTTTAGCTGCTATTTAAAAATATATCTAACCCATTTGCAAAGTTTGTTTTAAAATTTCCTATACATATTTGGCAGATTTTGCCTAATCTAAAGAAAACCTCAGGAAAATTTCAGCTAAAACTGTTAATAATATTTGGGCTTCCAGAAAAGTGAAAGTAAAAATTTTCAGGTACTGATATTGTAACATTGAGAACAACTCTGAAAACTACTATGAACTATTTCCTATAAGAGAAACAGTATGTTAACAGTTGAAATATTTTTTAAGAATTGAAACCTCAGAATAGCACATTTTCCCAGACTGTTGTTATATACTGTAATAAAATATAAAAATTTTGTTAATCAGTTTTGATTCTCTCTAGTTCCTTAGAAACATTTTTGATAGTACTTCTCATGTCTTTTTTTTAAAGATTTATTTATTTATGCATACAGAACTGAGGTATAGGCCAGAGGTACAAGGGTGGTGAGAGAATTCACCAGA